CAAGCCCACCCTCAGCGAGGCTGCCTTACAGCCTGCACTCATAACCACGGGGCCTCTGTGCCTCAACGGAACCCTAGTGCATCCTCCTGTCTGCCTTCGTAAGCTTTTCAAAACACAGGTTACTCCTCGCCTTTTTAAAATACGTAAGCTGCTTCCGCCTGCTTAGAATAAGGTCAGCATCACTTTCAGAATCGGGCGAGACTTGTTCTCTCTGGCCCTGTCCACTGAAGACTCAGCTCATCCACTCTTTACTCCCTGGTCAGCCTGCCGTGCTGCGACATGAAGGCTTGCTGGCATCCTTCTGGGCATGCAGGCATCTGTGTGGATGGCATGGCTGCTCCGAGGTACCTACTTCAGCATCGTTCTCTGAGAAGGCTCTGTGGAACTCCCCGCTAGAACCACTCACACCTGCTCAGGACCCCTCCACCTGCTAGTCACCCCTACCTCATACGTGCTCACACCTGTACCTGCATATCTACGCATGCTAACAATTATCCCAAAGGCAGCCATCCTAACATATCATGGGCTTTCACTCGCAAGGCTGGAAAGCCTTCTTGAACTTTACAGATCTCCTTAATAAAGTAACAGCTCAAGCTTGGACTCAACAAACCACTATTACATAATGCAAGAAAGTGAGATCTTAGAAACTTGCCATCCGTGGCCTTGGGAGTGGAAAGAGGGCAGCAGCAGCAGCAGCAGAGCACGGGATCCAGGACAACTAAGAACATCAAATCAAGGGTCCCAGCGCATGTGTGTGTGGAGGTGTGACAGAGGTCTTCCGACACTCTACCCCACCACCTAGGTTCTGTAGTCTCTGCAGTGTCACGCCCACACCTTCTTCTGAGCCAGGTCAGCATGATCCCCACCACCTGTCCCTCCTGTGCAAAGGATTACAACAGCAGGAGCAGTGCTTGAACACGGCTGACTGTCTCTTGACTCAAGAACACAGTGCAGGTGAGGGTCTGGTAGGAAGGCCTGGCTGAAGCATGCCCTGCCTCAGGCTGTCCCATGGGCCCTCCCGGAGCCTCCTTCTCCGCTGCTTTCCTTCGGCTCTCTGTGCTCCAGGCCCTTGCTATAGACTGACAGGACAGCAGACAGTGCAGAGAGAAGCATGCCCTTCAGCAAAGACAGACGAGATCAGGGCACTGAGTGACACCACTGGAGGCAGCTGCTACTCGGCGACCTATGGTGGAGTCCAGGCTTTGGCATTCTGTGGCACATGTACTCCCCGCAAGGCCAGCGCACACCACCAGAGTGACCTCACCAGCACTGGCCAAGAGGCATAGCAGCACCAGATGATGAAGGACTGCCACTTTCCCCGAAGCGGGAACCCCAGGACAGAGATAACAGCAGTGGTCAGTAAATCAGTGGGACACAGTGTTTGGTAGTGCTTATCCTTATTTTGTAGAAAATGTACTTAAGTGTAATTTTAGTGTCTTAAACTTTGGTTTTCATAAATGGCTGTCTTACCAATGGGCTTACAAATGCCATAAATATTTAACAATCATCCCTGGCCAGCCAATACAAGGCCCGCTGTGACCTACCACTGAATGAAGATAAAACAGGTTGTAATGAGAAAGTTCTTTGTGAAATTCAGGCAATGTTTGAGCTGGGTCCTTGATGTTAAAGAGTCAGCAACGCAGAGTTCTGGCACAGAGGGGACCACGAACATTTTGAAGAAACGACATGCTTCCTTCCTGAGAAATACAAAGCCACGGTGGTGGCCCAAGAGCAAGACTAGACTGGTAAGTCAGAGTAGGAGCACAGGCATCTAAGTATCTGGACCTTTCACTGGAACTCTAACAAGCAACCAAGCATCTGGAGTGTGCATCTGGGACACGCTCGCACACACATGCACACACAGGCACACAGGAGTCTCGTGGGAAGGAAGAGTACACCTGTAGCTAGCTTCAGATACATCCTACCTGCAGAGGACTTGCCAGATCCACATTCTCAGGCACACCCTCCTCTTCTGCTTGGGTACCACATTCCTAACTACTTGGATGCCTCCCAAACATCCAGGCTGTATCTGTCCAGATCATAACAACCCACAGCTGACAATCTTCCATCCCAGACCGAAACTGCTATGCTACCTGACTAAACCTGCTCCTCTCCTGTATTTCCTTCCTTGAGATCAGCATCTGCCCAGTTGCCAAACCACAGGCACCCAACAGCCTACTGCACACTGTTCCTGCCTTCCTCAGGTCCCAGGGGTTCCCAGGATCTCCTGCCCTAAGTGTCACACACAACCATCAGGCTTTATGCTTCCCAGACTCTGTGCACTAGCCGTTTGTCTTAACTGATGTCCATGCTTAGGAATCACACCTTCCCCATTCTCCTCTTTCTCACTAATTCGGACAATCATGCCATAAGTCTAGAGGGTTTCTCTAACCTTCTAGAGCAGAAACACAGATAAAGCCATGAATACCCATGATATGCGAAATTCTTTTAGGAAACACCTTTTGTGTTCTTATTTTGTCTTATCTCCATTTCATCATTCTCTAGTCAGTTTCCCCACACATGCAAGGCATCGATTTTGTCCCGTAGTTACTTCAGCAGGCCCCACTTCCCAGAAGCTTGGCTCTGGTGTCATCTATTAGAAGCCTTCTCCAGTGCCCAAACAAACCAGCTATGTCTTCCCTCAACTCCAACAGCATTCAGTGAATGCTGGAATTGCTGCCCTTATTTTTCCCGCTTGATTATATGATCTTTTTACATTAACTACGTTCTGTGTCCTTAGAGGCAAGGCAGTAGTCTTTGGCATTGAGAATAAAAACTGGGAAACTGCATAGACTCCTAGTCTTTGCGTCATTGGCAACATCTTAATATCACTACAGAGCTACAGACTAGTAAGTGCTGCACAATTAACAGCACAGTGGGAGGAGGCAGGCAGTCTCAGCACCCTACCGTGGTCATCAGCTCTGCAGTCACAAACATGAGCCGGAACCACTGTTACGGGCTGCTGAGCCAGGCAGTCGTCGCACACCCCTTTCCTCCCAAGCACTCAGGAGACAGGTGCAGGCAGGTCTCTGAATCTGAGGCCAGACTGGACTACAGAGCAAGTTCCAGGCAAGCCTCAGCTACACAGAGAAACAAAACAAAACAAAAAAGGGCTGCTGTCCAGCCTCAAAAGTGAAAATGTTCATGACCAGTTAGTTGCCTTACTTATTCACACAGAAAGTTGACAAAAGTCTCATTAAAAGACAAAAAGACAAAAACAAACAAAAAACAACACATAGGTGAGGTTAAAAACCAACTCCTTTTATTAACACATGCAAGGAAAGCTCCAATCGACACACAAACCCATTTAAGACCCAGAAGGTTCTGAACTTAAGAACTATTACAACAATCCTCTTTCCCAACATGCCTACTTTAGAATAAGACACTGTAAAAACAAGGGTGAAGAATTTACACCAAAGAACTCTGTGCTGAAGTCAATGAGAGAGGCTCCAGCCATGAGCTTTAAGGCAGCAGTTCACATCAATCATAAATCTAAACTTCTTAAGAAACACAGAAGGAAGTCTGCCCACATTCCAAACACCTAATCTCAAGGTAGCAATATCCTCTCAGGAACCAGGGGGATGTTTACTTTGCTCTTTTGTGGTTTTTCCTCTTTTGACCTTTCTACACAAGTTACGACTATGCGGCACTTCAATTAGAAACTGGTGTTAACTGCCATGGCATCGAAATATCCTTTGATATTATCCTTATCTGTCAAGAGTGGTGGTGCAGACTGAAATCCCGGCTCTCTGGAAGTTAGGGCATGAGGGCTGCAGGATCAAGGGCGGCCTGGGGCTTCACAGCTATCACCAACTCAGAGTACAAACTAAGAAGACCTTGTTTCAAAATAAATAAGATATTAAAAATAAATGTTACCTGGGATGGAGAGATGGCTCAAAGAGTTAAGAGTAATTCCGTTCCTAGCACCCACACGGCAGCTCACAACAATTTGTAACTCAATTTCCAGAGCAGGCCTCTGATGCTCCAGATAGCACGTGGTGACACATACATGCAGGTAAACACTCACACACATAAAATAAAAATAAATAAATTCTCCCCCAGGAGTGCGCAGTCCCACGCTGTGAAAAGGTACAAAGCTTCCACGTTGATAATTGCTCATGAGTACTGTAAGTGACCAACATTATGTGAGAAACCAAACCAGGCAAACCACCAGCTTAAACCAGAAGAGGAAGGAAGGGGGCTGAAGAAGCCAAGCTGGAGTGAAGGGGGTCCTATTCAACTTGTGGAAAAATAACGAGTAGAAGACAGTAATTTCCAGGGGTTCCAAGCCTTTCTAAATTAGAGTGTTAAAAACTCTTCTCGCATATTGGAGCAGAATATCTGCGGGAGGTGGAGAGCCAAAAGTCTCGGGCTGGGTCAGCACACAGGTTACTCAACCGGCAGAACTCTGCCACACGCCCTCGGCGGACACGGGAGCCTCCAATTCCCCCCTCGTGCTCGTGTGCGGAGCTCCCGGCCTGATGGGGTAAAGGGACAGAAGGTCCACCACCGAAAGAAACTTGTAAAAGCAGACACGTTTACCCAGAAGCAGACACATGGTTGCCGTGGATACCAAGCCAAGCACCCAAATCCTGCACGGAGGGGCGTCAGGACCCGTTCTCTGAGACAGGGGTCGTGGGCTAGGGACGGGGGTTAGGAGGGGTTCTCCTTTCCCGCGACGTCGGCCCGGGCCTTGGTCCCTCAGGCGCCTACCGCATAGAGGAGCACAGGGCCGGGGCTGGCAGAGCCGACTGAGAAGCGGGAGCTGGAGGAGTTAGGAACGTCCATGGCGCGGCTGCCGTCCCGGGCGGGGCCTGGGCTCGTCTGCTACGCGGCTGTGGTGCAGCCGCCGGGGGCGGTTCTTCCGAACAGGGCGGCCCCAATCCGCCCAGGGCGGTGGCACTCAGTACGGCCACCGCACGGGACCCCGGGCACCGCCATCTTAACCAGGACGGAGGCCGCGCAGGGCCCCCGGAGCACGCGCAGAGCCGCGCCGGAAGCGGAAGTGATAGGTTGTGCGCTGGATTCGGGGTTCCGTGCAGGTTCCCATGGCTGCGGACGGAGGGTCGGGCTCAACCGAGCCTCCTGGCTCTGAGACAGTGCTGGACGCCGTGCTGCGGAGCCTCTACGACCTGGGTGAGCGTAGCTCCTGAGAGGAGGCGGCCAAGGACAGAGAGACGCATCCCAGGCGCGGCGGGAACCCGCGGGTCCACCGATCTCCTGGCGCCAAGCCGGCAGGCCGCCCTTCCCCTGCGGCGCCTCCCTCTCCGAGACCTCCTCACCCACATGTTGGCCGACCTTTCGCTCTCCTCACTGTGCGGGAAGGGAAAATCAGAGCTTGTAATTAAAGACAGGCAGCTCGCAAAAGGGACAGTCGAGTTCACGTAGATCACCTGACTTGCAGAACCAAACAGAGCAAACGCAGCGTTATGTTTATTTTGGAGTGGTTACTCAAAATTCTAAGCTCGCTTACACGATTTTTAAAATAGAGCCGAGCGTGGCGGCTCACGCCTTTAATACCAGCACTTGGAAGGCAGAGGAGGCGGATCTCTGTGAGTTCGACGCCAGCCTGGTCTACAGAGTGAGTCAGTGAGTCCAGGACAGCCAGGGCTACACAGAGAGGCCCTGTCTCGGAAAAAAACAAAAACAAAACACCTTAGAACTTGGAAGAACCAATGTACCAGGTGTACATTGCATGCTTTTTGTGCATTTCCCCATTGTCATAGAACTGTTTTATATGTGTGTGTGTGTGTGTGTGTGTGTGTGTGTGTGTGTGTGTGTGTGTATACCCCCACCATGTTGACATGAGAAAATAACTTATGGGAGTCAGTTCTGTCCTTCCACCATATGAGTCCTGGGGATCAAACTCAAGTTATCAGACCTGGCAACAAGCACTCTGGCTCCAAGCAGTTTGTTTTCCTTGTGTGTGTGAATGGTTGCTCATAGCTGGGCCACATGCAGGCTGATGTTCCTTTGGTGTTAATGTTAACTAAAACCAGATACTTTCTTTTTATGTTGAAACAAAAGGAGAGACAGAAGGTGAAACAGAGCAGAAAAAGATCAGAAAGAAGAGAGAAAAGAAGAGAAGAGACGCAGAGACACAAGCAGATGTGGCGGCAGACCCGCTTCCCTTGCCTGCATCTCTTGTGGGAGGCCAGAAGAAGAGCGCTTCCAGCTTTTTCAAGGAGCTCAGAGAAGAGCTGCCGTCCGTCCCTGCTGGCCCCTCAGAAGTCCCTGCTGCTACTGCAGTCTCGCTCCCTCCCCTGAAGAGCAACAGCAAGCTAGTGGAAGTGGTCGAGTTTCAAAGCAAAAGGAAAAAAAGGAAACCACAGTCAGATGGAGATGAGCATGCACAGGTAATACTTCGGCTGGTTTCTTTACACCTGTGTGGCAAGGGGGCCTTGGGTCACCATAGGCTGTAGCTGGGGCGCCTTCAAGCCCTAGCTTTTGGTAAGTGACTCACGGGACTTCATTCTCATCTGACCAGATTCCCCACCCCGGTGCCCCAGAAGACAGTGGGCACTAAGAATAAGTGTGGGTGTGCATGCTGAGCCAATATAGGATGTTGGAGCCCTAAGGCCTCAGATATACAGAAACACTCTGGTCAGCCGAGTAGTCATTGCTCAGTGCTTGGGAGGTAGCCTGCTGTAGATCCAGGACCAAAGCTGTCTTAAGAGTTGCGAGGCTTACCAGGTGTGTGGCTTACACTTCTAGTTAGTCCCAGTACTTGGGAGGAAGCAGAAGCAGGTAGGTCTCTGAGAATTTGGCACCAGCCTGGTCTCCATAGTGAGTTTCAGGCCAGCCTGGTTTATATAGGGAGAGCCTGCCCTCCCCAAAGAAAACATTTCCGGCTTTGATAAAACCAGGCCTGCCCAGCTACCTTTCTACTTAATAAGCCTTTGGTTGTCAGTGCTCAGAAGAGAGCCGGTTGTCTGTTGCTCCTGTCATTTGCCAGCAGCTATTCTAGGACATAGTCAGCACTAACCAAAATGTCCACCAGCTCTTGCTCCATGAACTCACATGGTGGAAAGGTAACTATTTTCCTTCAGATAACTTGTAAATCTTACCCCAGTTTAGTCTGTTAAGGTGAGGTGACTACTCCCATAAATGGTCCCCACCCCCATTTCCTGGCAACAAGAATATTCTAATGAATTTTTCAAATTCATTGCTAAAATCCAGATATATGCCATTCTTTAGCCTTCTACATGCCTCATAAACCTTTATCAAAAAAGAAGATGGGATTTGTGTCATTGTCGTAAGGCAGCTGTTAGAAATCACCACAAACATAGTGCTTCAAAGCAACAGAGAATTGTTACTAGTTTTGCAGGAAGAGGCCAGAAGTCCCAGGCCAAGTATAGCGGGGCCATGTTCCCTTTGAGGGCTGGAGAAGCCTTCCTGGTCTCTGGCCAGTGTGGCTCTGTCCACTCTCTGGCTCATGGTTGTGTAGGGGCAGTCTCTGTACTGCCTTTACATCCTTCTTAGCCTTATGGGCCCAAGCCCATAGTTCCTGTGCCCCTCTCAGAACACCTATTACTGGTTTTAGGGCTTCTCCTAAATCCGGAATGTTCCTCACCTCTGGAAAGCCTATCTTCACTCTAAGATCAGTTTTTTAGATAAGGTACCATAAGCAGCTTTGCAAGGTTAGGGCATGGCCATTATCTTTTTGATAGCTACAGTTGAGCATTGTTCTTTATGGCTGTGTTTCATACCCGGTACTGCAAAGCACAAACAAACCATTAGTGTTTTTGAGTCTAAGTGCCATTTCATACCTAGCTTGCTCACAGTTTCTTCCTTGGTGTCCTAGGATTGCCAGGCTGCAATTATACCTCTTCTTATTTTAGGACTCCAGGTCAGCTTCCCACTCATGCTTCAGGTGTTAGCACCAGGACCTGTCATAGGTAGACCAAGGTATGGCCCTTGGCCATCTCCTCTTACTTTAGGAGCTTACAGGGATCTGCCTTTCCTGGTGTGCTGTGTGTAGGAAGTTAGGAAAGCAGTGTTTTCAGTGTTAACCAGGTTTAAGCTGACATGACCTGTCTCTGCCCCTTCCTCACTGCCTCCAGTCTCTCCGGCCCCAGCATCCTCTCTGCTCACTCTTGCCCCTCTTTCTCGAGCGGAAAGTTTGTCTGTTAATAGAATGGGCAGAAGAGCTGGCATTGTGTGAGTCTGGCCCCTAGGACAGTCAGGGAGTTGTCCCCACACTCCCTTCAAGCTGCTCAGTCCCACTGTCACTCTTCTCTGGATCCGTGGTGCCTCAGTGGCCTAGATAAAGAGACGGAAGCATGGTTGGGTGTGCCTTTAATCCCACCTTCAGGTGGATCTCTGTGAGTTCGAGGACAGCATGGACTACATAAGAGACCGTGATTCAGAACAAAAAGCAGGAGTGAAAGATGGAAGAGAAAGGGCCCTGTGTCCTTGTCCCCACACTCTGCTGTAGCAACTGCCTCAGCCATTGGCATCACTTCCCACATGCTGGTGCTCGTTCCCAGCCACAGGACCCCTTCTTGCCTCCCTGTAGCCCCAAGGTGTGGGCTACACAGCGGAGCCTGGTGCCTGCAGAGCCTATGGTGCTGGTCTGCAGTTACGTGTGCTGCGCACACAGAGCTGGTGAGCACAACTTCATGGGCTTGTTTGGGTTTTAAGACTCATGCAGTTTAATCTTAAAATTTATTTGCCAGGCAAACTTCACAAGGTGTCTCAGAAATCACTTGTTTCCCCTACTTGGCATGAGTTTTACAGCCTGTGGTTTATTTCTCTGGTGCTGTAAACGGAACAGGGACCTTGCATGCACCAAGTGTATCCCTCTGCGATATGCCCCCAGCTCTCCTGGAGTTGTGTGCACTTGCTTTCCAGTCCACCTGGGGGCCTTAGCTTCTCAGTGTTCGGTATTGCCGGCAGAACTTGGCCCTGACCTTGGCCATCCAGATAAAGGGTTGTGGTTTTGAAATAAGCACCAAGGTCAGGTTCTGACCCCAGGCTCTCTGGCTTCCAAGTTGTGTACTTAGCTGCTGCTTGGGAGATAGAGTTCTTTGTCCTTTGATAAGGCCAGCGGGAGGAGACGGGCATCACCAGACCTGAAGACACCCCCCCAGGTCGATGCTAAGGAGCCCTGGTAGCTCCGTGCTTACCCAGTTTGACGGGCCTCGTTCTGAGCTCCCTTGGGGGTCAGGCTGTGGAAAGAGAGTCATCTGATTGAGGCACTGTACACCGGCCGTGCCGAGTCAGACCTTACTGCGGTTAAAACTGCTTTTACTTACCCGGCCACTCTAACTGAGCACCAGTAATTTTAAAAGTTTGCTTATCTACATTTTTATCATTGTTTATTTGTGCATGAGGTTGTGGGAGCCACGGTGCACATGTGTGGTCAGAGGGCATCCTGTAGGAGTCAGCTCTCTCCTTTTACCACGTCAGACCCAGGAAATGAATGCAGGTCATGGGCTTTGTGGAAAGCACCTTTCCCCGAAGCTCAGTCGTCCCATTAGCCCACTAATATTTGTTTCTTTTCTTTGCAGGGAAGGGGGTTGTTTTTTCAAAGCAGGGTCTCACTATGTAGTTCTGACGACCCTAGAACTCATTATATAGACCAGATTGGCCTTGAACTCACAGAGATCCCAAATGCTGGGATGAGAGGTGTGCACAACTACAGCTGGCAATTTCTTCTTTAGTAAGTTCATGCTACACAGAAGAAAATGCTCCAGGGCAGGTCAGTAGCCCAACAGCTCCGTTGAGCCTGGAGCTCAGCTCCCACATGGAGAAGAAAGCAAGGGACATGGGGTTTGCATTGGGATGGGATCTCCTGGCTGTGCAGGGCAGGGACTGTGTCCTGAGAAAGCAGGGTGGTCACGTTGATGGCACCACCATCCCCCAGAGGGGCTGACATCTTTTCTAGAGGCTGTGTGGAATGTACAGCTCTGTTTTGCTGCTGTGACAGGCAGGCCTGGGATTGGATGGTGACTGTTGTCAGTCAGATGTCTTTGTCTTGACAGAAGCCCCCTTAGTTAAGCATCTGGGGAGTCCCATGGGCTTGAAGCCATGGCCAGGGATGGGACTTGGAAGCCACTATCTCCACCACCACTACCACCCTGTTTCTCTTTTTTCAAATCGGTTTCTCTATATAGTCCTTTTGTCCTGGACTCGCTTTGTAGAGCAGGCTGGCCTCAAACTCACAGAGAGCTGCCTGCCTCTGCCTCCCAGGCGTTGCCCAGCTAGAAGCCACGATCTTGAAAGCATTTGCAGCAGCAGTGCCACCGGTGGTTGGGAGCCAATGCTTCGCCTGGCCAGGAAGCTGGCGCTTCTCAGCCTCTCAGGACCGTCCTTGTAACAGTGGGGATGGAGGTGGGAAAGAGGGGCTGTAAAGCCAGTGGTCTCAGACCTTCGCCAACTCCTTGCCAAGCAGAACTTCCTGTCTGGTCTGTGAAAGGCAGATGTTTCTTTGCTTTTTCTTGTTCATCTTCCCTTCTTTAAGCCTAGAGTCCTTAAAACATGTGCTGTTTGGTTTAAAGAGATGGCTTAGCTGTTAGGAGCGCTCACCTTCTGTTCTTGCAGAGTCCCGAAGTTCGGTTCCCAGCACCTACATGGCGGCTCACAACCCATAACGACAGTTCTAGGGGATGATAGCAGTTCAGTTCTGGTCCGACTGCTTCAGACTCCTGTACAGACATGGCGCACATACATGTAACTAGGCACACACACATAAAAAATAACAGCTAAAAGCAAGCGCATGCTCTGTTTCCCTTCTGCAAGCCGTTTGAAAAGACCGAGCGGCAGGCGGGGCTGTTGCTTAGATGTGTGGGCTGCTTTTCCTGGGGATGACAAGCATGTAACGGTTGGTACTTAACTTGACCCTGGTGAGCAGCCGCCCTGCAGAGCCACAGCTGACCCCCAGCGCAGCACCTCTGTTGTACTTTCTCTCTGAAATGACAGCTCCCCTTGTGGCACAGGCCACTACTTGCCCTCTGTGGTCGGCCCTCACTTCATCACAGCGTGGGATGTGTCAGAATTCTGCTCTTTTGTTTATTTTTTGTGATGTTGCCTCCTATTTACGAGGTTTGCACGCTCCACCAGTGTAGCTCGGAGGAGGAAGCCACAGTGTCCTTTTAAAGGCTGAGCAGGAACTGCGCTTTAACCTGTTCATCTGTCAGTCGACACCTGGCTTGCCCTTGTATTTAGCTTTTGGGAACACGGCTACTATAAACATTTGTGGACAGATACCTTTGCCAGCCCCTGGCGGTGGAACTTCTCAATTGTGTATCCACTCTGCTCTTACTGCGGGGAGGTGCCACACATTGTCCATAGCAGCTGTACCACCACCATTTTTGCTTGCGGAGTATAAAGGTTTCAGTTTCTCAACATCCTTGCCAATGCTTTTTGTTTTCTGGGTGGTTTTTGGGGCGAGGTTGTTTTGTTTTTAATTTTTATTGTATACACTTAGAATTGTTGGGTTTTTTATTTTGAGGCAAGGTTTCATGATGTAGCCCAGGCTGGCCTCCACATAGCCACTTCCCTATCTCTTTTCTCCTGGGATTACAGGTGTGTGCTACTATACCTGGCCAACTGGAAGGTTCTAATAAGAATTTGTTCTCTTTGCAGACTAAAACAGGGGCCCTTGAAAAAGCTGTGGCTATTCAAGAATTTAACCTGGAAAAGGTAAGCCTTTTGAGGTGGCTCCCAGTTCCTCTTTAAGGCTTGCATTGTTCATTGTGCGCTGACAGCCTTAGTGCAGCACGGCCTTCTGCATGGTCTTGTCAAGGCTCGGGAAGTGGGAACCACAGTCTCACACTGGTCACGTGATGCTCTTCACTCACTAGCAGCAGGCTTACCTCGCAGTTTAGTGACGAAGTGGCGAGTTAGAAAGATGGAGCCAGGTGTGCATAGTGCAGCAGGTCGCTAAGGTGCCTGAGGAAAGAAAAGCACAGGAGAGAGGAGCCACAGCCTTAACTGAACACAGGTGCGGCTGGCCTGCCTCGGGCAGCTTCCTCCTGTGGGCAGCATGTTTAGAGGTGCTTTTTGGCCTTGGCTGCCCCTCTGGCATTGGCCTGGTGGAGTGCACCCACGGTACAGAGTGCTGATGGAATCGCAGCGCTGTCATGAGTTACACAGAGACACGCAGGGATCATCTGTAGTTTCTGCTGTGGGGTTACAGGAGGAAGCACAGAGCGGGGGGTGCGAGAGCCTGCTCAGCCACAGCAGCACTGCAGGGCTGAGGCCGTGGGGCCCGCACGGCTGAGAGTTCGAAGGGAGCTGTTTACATGCTGGGTCTGCCTGTTGTGCATCCGCAGGCTCGCTTGGAAGTGCATCGCTTTGGGATCACCGGCTATGGCAAAGGAAAAGAACGAGTCCTGGAACGGGAGCGGGCCATCATGCTCGGGGCTAAGGTGAGGGGAAGGGGAGCGCCGGGCTCTGTGCCTGCTTAACCATTTGCAGAATAAACACTGATGCTGTGCCTATTCTTCCCTTTCAGCCTCCCAAAAACAGTTATGTGAATTACAAGGTTTTGCAGAAGCAAATTAAAGAGAAAAAGGCAGCATTAGAAGAAGAAAAGAGAGTGGTAGGTGTGACGTGTCTGCCTCTGGCTGGCCCACTGGCAGTCGTAGCCTGCCAAGCAGTCAGGACACCAGCATTGCCTGATAAGTCTCCTCCCCCACTGTGTCAGCCAGGCTTGCTCTGGCCTGCTCGTGGGTAAAGTGAGACCGGCTTAGAGGCAACAGGCCACCATCACTACCACAGTGTCTGTCTGTCGACTGCCACCGGTGCCAGTGGGTGTTGGGACCCAGCTGTGGTTGCCCAAGGGAGCCCTGTCCTCTGGGGTCATGCATGAGGGCACCAAGCCCTTGAGTCTTTGTGACAGGGTCTCACTATGTAGTCTGGGCTGGCTTAGAACTGTCACTCTCCTGCCTCTGCCTTCTGAGTACATAGCCACAGGTGTGCACCACCAGACCCTGTCACATTCCGGAACGAGGTTCTGGGTGAGACTGCTTGGTTTATGTTTAATGTACCGATTGAAAATGTTGGAAATAAATGGCACTTATATGGCTTTTTGTCACAGACCTATTGCCCTGGTTTTGAGTATTCATTATCCGTTACTGACATACTGTCTTAAACTTTAATGTAGGCCCAGGACACAGACATATTCAAGAGAAAGAAGAGGAAAGGGAAAGGACAGGAAGACAGGTGAGTGCTCGCGACAGGTGCTGGGCTGTCACTGGCCAGGCCTTGTGGTAGCTTCCCTGGGCTGTCTTGAGTGTACAGCACCCCAGCCCTCAGTTACCTGCTTAGGCCTGCAAAAGGAGGTGGGTTAGGAAACTGCCCCGAATCAACCAACACACCAGAACTGAGTCCAGAGCCTTCTCTGCTCTCATGTTATCAAAGACCAGACAGCCCAGTGACTGCTGAGAAGCTGAAGCTGCCATTTCCAACCAGACTTGCCTCCCTCTTGGGAAGGCCTGTTGGCCTGGATGGACTGATGGGCCGCACTCATGGTGGAGAAACAGCGGGCAAGGCACCTGGAGCTGTGTCAGCTCTGGTTGAGGGGTCCCTCTCCTCTGGGACTGTTCCACGGGCACTCTCTTCATCCTAGCCCTTTCTCACAAGTGTCTTGTTGGTGAGTGCCCACTGTGTGCCAGGTTGAGTGTGGATGCCCGGGTCTGGTCACCGCAAAGGGCGTGGCCATGAGGGAAGCAGGGATTGGTGGCATCTGGTGCTGCTGTGCCCTGTGCAGAGGCTGCAGGGGCTCAGAGAGCATTGCTGGGCTGAGGTGATGTCTGTCAGGAGCTGAGCAGAGAGGAAGCAAGAGACCAATGCAGCTGTGGCGGCCTTCCCACTGGGAGGAGGCCCAGGCTGTGTCCTGCCTCCTGCTCTGACTGCCTTTCTCTCACTTTCAACACAGGAGATCCAAGAAGTCGGCTCCCAGCATTTTGTCAAGTAGCCGGGCTGGACAAGTTGGAAAATTCAGAAATGGGACGTTGATTCTAAGCCCCACTGACATCAAGAAAATAAATTCTTCTAGGGTAGCTAAATGAAGTACTCTGTGGGCTCCAGAGAAGAGTGGGAACAAGTGACAGGACCCCGAAAGCCCTGCAGGCTGCTCTGTCATGTTCACAGGGTGTTCTTCACTTTGGAGCAAGTCTGATGAGCAGGGCAGGGACCGCAACCGCACTGAATGCTGGGCCAGAGCCCAGGCTCCACTCCGTGTGCTGTAGAGGTTAAAGCATGCACGTGCCTGTGCAGGTAGCAGTGTTAGTGCCCTGCTGCACGCCGGGCCGTGCTCGGCCTCCACTGCTGCTTTTGGCTGCTAGTATCGGCACACTTGGTCGTGGTCTACTTTTTCATAATTTTTACTGTCTCATAAGTATCTGTGAAGGACATTAAAGTGCCTTTTGGACTCATGAAAGAACTAAGAACACTTGTCATTGTTGGTTTTGTGGAAAAGCAGTTCTATCATCAGCCTACTACACGTGTAAAACCCACTTTGGAAGAATTTCCAAAATCACACCTCTGTGGTGTGAGCGAGTGCTGCTGAGAACAGACAGGCGGGCCTGACTGGTTCCCACAGCTGCATGGAGCTGCAGCCTCACAGGACCACATTTACAGTGCTGTCAGCACCTCCCAGAGACAGAGGTGCACCACAGGGAGCTCTCCAGTGAGAGGAATGCTTCTGGCACTCCCCCATAGGTGCTCGGGCCCTTGCCCAGCAAGCAGCGCAGCTCGGGTCTGACAGCCTGCAGGCCCCAGCCAGCCAGCTCTCAGGAGCTTGTCAGACAGCTCTGAAAGCTTGGCCGAAACAGCTCACTAGATGGAAGACAATTTGATAGATGTTTTTAGTGGCGATTTTAAGTTTATTTGTGTGTGAGGGCACATGCGCACAGCTTGCGTGGAAGTCACAGGACAAGCCCTCGGGCCTGTGTCCCTCCCACCATGCAGGTCCCAGGGATTGCACTTGGACGTCAGCACCTTCACCCGCTGAGCTTCACCATCCCTAGTTAGAAGGTCTTAAACATGGCAGCACTGGGAACATCAGTCTTAGGGCACAGAGATGGCCTGTTAAGGGTGCGCTGGGGCAGTTGACTCCATCTTTTCAAGGAGAGCCTGGGGAAGGTGGAGTTCCACCAGAACCTACACAGCTTGGACCACGCTCCTACCATGAATGAGCAGCTTTGGTTTCTGCTTTAATTTGCTGCTGTAAATATTTATGCTAGCCCTTAACAGAAGGCAGGGAACTATACTGTGTAAGTACTAAAAGCTCAGCACGCTGACCACCGAGTGTTCTGGGAATGCTTCAGAGGTTAGAAGGCAAAGTGATCCACAAACGTTCTGTTCCGAGTACTCGGGGTCAAGCTTCAGTCAGCGCTCTGGGGAACGACTCCTGATGAGGCCTCCAGACGTCAGCTGCAGCCGTGGTTCTAGACCTGCTGGTGGCAGCCCCTTTCACAGGGGTCAGTTCAGATCTTACACTGCGATTCCTAACTGTAGCACACTTGCAACTGTGAAGTAGCAATGGAAGAACTCTGCGACTGGGGTCACCACAACATGAACTGCTGTATTAAAGGGTCGCGGTGTCAGGAGGATTGAGAAGTGAGCACAAGAAAGTCACCCTAAGGAGAGCAGGCTTACCCCTGAGTTCATACTCTGGCCTCAGTGCGCCTCAGTGGTTCAGCCATGCAGCTGTGCAGGGTGCATGGCAGGCAGGGCTGGTGAGAGCCAAGTGGCTGTCAGAGGAAACTCCCAAGTTAAACTTGCAAAGACCCCGGAAGAGGACAGGCACTGTTGAACCTTCGTCATCGCCAGCTTGGACCACCATGGCGAGGCAGCTCTGTCCTGAGTGATGGGGAAACGGACGTACCGCCCTGACTCCACCTCTGGCTCCCACCAGCCGGAAGCAGCACGGGTGCACCTGCACTTGTGTGGTCATGTGACTGCCTCCTTACGTGCAGTGACTTCTCCCTCCCTCTGCACAGTCCATCCCACTCTGTGTCTACCACAGCTCTATGTATCTTGTGTGCCCTCCTGTGTCCTTGGGACCTTTGCGCCTGCTCATGTATGCACAGGTACATAAGTGTGTTCAGGTTTGTGTACAGGCGTGCACATGTGTGGAGACCAGAGCAGTGCCTCAGCCTTCAACCCTTAGATACTATCCACCTGGCTGTTAATTTTGTCTCTTGCTCTGTTTTCTTTTTAAATCTGTTTTTATTTCATGTGCGTTGTTTTGCCTGCATGTGTGTCTGTGTATGTCAGATCCCCTGAAGGTGGAGTTAGAGACCCTTGTGAGCTGCCCTGTGGGGCTGGGAATTGAACCCGGGTTCTGTGGAAGAGCAGCCAGTGCTCTTAACCACTGAGCCAGCTCTCCAGCTCCCATTCTGTTTTCTTACTCTCATGTAACTTAGTAATGATAACGTTAAAGCTTGCTGTGCTCCTCTTCTCCGTCAAGCTCAGCTCTAAGTGAATTACAGATTTCATGGGGACACCACTCCGGCCAGGTCGTCACCAAGTCACTCACTTATTAATTTGTACTTGTGCTGTGCACACAGCCTTCATGCCGAGCACTGAAGCCTCATGGTGCAGGTGAGGACAGTAGCGGCCAAGGTGTCAACAAGCAGCTGGGGCAGCATGGGAGCCAGGACAGGGCTGGATGGTCTAGACCTCGGAGAGCAGGGAGGAAGCTCAGGGAAATGAGGTCCTCGGAGAGCAGGGAGGAAGCTCAGGGAAATGAGGCCCTCAGAGAGCTGGCAGTGGCCAGACAGGAGGTAACGCCTTGGTAAGCCATTCTGGTTTGTTTGGTTTTTGAGACTGGGTTTCTCACTTTGTAGCTAAAGATGGCCTGGATTTCATTATGAGCTCAGGCTGGCTTAAACTCACAGTGAACCTCTTCTCAGCCTGCCTCTTACAGGAATAAGACCCTATGCTCACCTTTTTGGGGGTCTTAAAACCTCCCTTGTTGGGTCCTGCTTCCTCCCAAGATCACCCCTAGGAAATACACTCCAACCCCAGAGCTTGTGTCCCCCAAAACCCAACTGACAGTCCCCCCCCCCCCCCACTCAGAGCTTCATCCTCTACTCTTAGGAAGAGAGCTGCTTAAAGGTGGCACACGCCTTTAATCCCAGCACTCAGGAGGCCAAGGCAGACAGATCTCTGTGAGTTCCAAACCAGCCTGATCTACAGAGCGAGTTCTAGGACACCCAGGGCTACACAGAGAAACCCCATCTCAAAAAGCCAAGTGCACAAACAGCATCTGAAGAACGATGCTTGAGGTTGATCTTTAACCTCACGTGCACAAATATGTGCAAATGCACACACACACACACACAAATAGAAACCATTTAAATGAAACTAACTTCACTGGAAAATGTACTTTGTAATTTGAAACCACGTTGTTACTTTGAGATTTGGGAAACCACAAAACTGAAGCTGCTGGGCAGTGGTCAGCCAGGGCCAGCCTGTGGGGATTTGCAAGTGGCTTCTCACTGGTGACCACGGACCACACCTGTCTTCCAGTTGTTGGCAGTGTCAAAAGAATTTATTTCAAATCTGTTTAAGAATGTGGTAAAACTCAGGTTTTCCAAAAAGTAATACAGGAAGTTCAACCAACTCCCAAGAGACCAGAAAACACAGTGTTTGCAATTCAAAAAATACAAACGCTTGTGGATAGCTGTACAAAAATTAGAAAAACTGACTCTCCTGAGCACTGCCCACCCTCCTGTTTTCAGCGAGACGTGAACAGCCACAGGGCCAAGCGCTGCCACCAAATACCAACCACTGGGGACAGAATTGATTTGGTAGGGAAGGCAGGGAGAGGGCAAGGAGAGGCAGGAAAACGGGCCAAAACAACGGTACACAGCTTTCTGTTTCTGATAAGTTCCTTTGCCAACATTGACAAACGCCTTTCATGCTCAGCACGCCGTGGAGTGCAAAGGCAGCAATTCTATAGCATGCATTCGTGTTTTCTGTTGTGCCTGCACCCCACTCTCTGCGGCTGAGAAAGTGGGGGCTCAGGAAGTCCAGGCTCCCAGGGCCAGCACAGGCCACTCAAGGAGCTCCAGCAGCCATCTCAGGGCCTCTTCAGCCTCTGCTCAGTCATGCCCAAAGACCTGGCGCCCCGGGCCACCCTGCTGTCCCTCAGACTCCAGGACCTTTCCCAGGGCTGGGCTGATGGGGGACTCTCAGTGAGCTGCCCTGCTTGAAGGGCCTGCTTCACCTGGAGTCGAGTCAAGCCCCAGCTCCTTCCACGGAGCTCAGCGCTGTCCACGGCAAAGGTCAGGCTCCCTGCCTCAGCTTGTGTCAGGAAGTCCCGGCAGCAGTCAGTTGTCTGAAACTGGCCTGTGACCAGCCATCTCCTCCATGTTTAGCTGTCAGAACACTCTCGGGGGGGATTCCAAAGCCACCCCCACTGTTGGGAAAACAAAGCCAAAGGCCCTGGAGGGGGGGGGTCCTCGAGACCCCAGCTGAGGGAACAGGAGGCAAATGGCCAGCTAACGTAGGAACATTGCATGCCTTTAGCATGAAGAAGCTGCTGACAGGCTTGGTGGGACACGCCACCAACGTGGCGCTCCACACACGGGGCGCACTTGCTAAGGTCATGTAAGCCATCTGAAATGCCAGGCAGCAATGTGGAAAATACCTGCCTGGTCACAGGGAGCTCGGGAGAAGATACTGTGGTTAGAGGACACAGTAGAAGTCATCCAGGTTTGAGCCACTGAATGTGAGCTATTCAGCCTGGACCTTATTGTGGAGCCTTTCCAGGAGCCACACAATACGGAGAGAAGGCAGGTTGGTATGACCAGTCCTGTTTGCAGCTAGGGATACTGAGGCACAGAGTAATTAGGAGATTTGTCCCATGCATGCCATGAGCCAACATCAGAGCCAATTTAAGAGCGGTTAGTACTGAGGAACACTGCTGTCCGGTCTCCTCATGGAGCCTCAAGCCTCTACTTCGACTCAGCTCTTTCCCTCAGCTGGCAGGACCCCTTCAGCCAGGATCTCCAAACAGTGACAACTGGCTGTTCCTGAGGAACCAGATTCCCGGGACCAGTGTGGACTTTGAACCCCTAAAAAGATATGTAAGAATTCTTTAACGCATTGAGGGCCCCAAATCCGTAAGACAGCCTTGTTCCTACCAGTAAAAAGTGGCCAAGAAAAAGAAGGGAATGAGTTATTCTTCCCAAGGTTGGAGGCGGCCACTATCTTCAGTGAGCAGAAATGTGAGCCCTCTTTCCTCACTGGAGACCTCTTAAGAATTCTTAGTTGGGTTAATACGAGGCCAGTGGCTTTGGGACAGACTTGTGTGACACAGGAATGGGTACCACCAACACTGTGAATGCTGACACCCAACAAATCAGTGTGATCCAGATCCAGGTCAGTCCCAAGGGGGCATCTGGATGTCTCTAGATATTTGGTGGGTGTCACCCTTACTGGGGCTGCTCTTGGCATCTGGAGAGGAGAGACCAGGGGTGCTTAATGGTCTCCAACATTCAGACCCCACCCCACATCAGGAGAGATACAAGGCCCTTGGGTCACCCCCACAGTCCTGTGACAGTGTTCTTTACACCCTCATATTTGAGAACCCAAAATGACTTCATCCACCCCTCACCTCTGTGCAACGGGAGGCTGTAGGGACTGGTAACAGCCTCTGGAAGGGCAAACCCGACTGAATCACATCCCCACTCACAGGGTGAAGGCTGACACGCTGCCCCTGGGCAAGTATACACCCAGTGCACCCAGGCCCTGACCTGAGAGGGGCCCCATGAACAAGAGAAGGGGCTCACACTGGGATTAGCATATTGCTTCCTGGCTCGGGAGCCTTGGGGCGATGGGGCAGCTGAGGGCATTTCTGGAAGCACAGGGCACATGGGGACTAAGCCATACAGCGTGAAGGGCCAGGTCAGGTGCTTGTCTCCTAACACCTGGAGCATGTTCCCAGACAGGACAGGAGGAAAACACTGCTCTCCTGCTGTGTGTAGGTGCCAGTGGGAACTTGTCAAGGACATTCATTTAAGAGGGATTGCCCCTCGCTGACCCACCCCGAGAACAGGCTTCCGAATCTCTGTCTCACAGGCCCTCGACACCCAGAGTTCGTTCTTAGCGGCCCACCGAGGGAGGCCTCACCTTGATAGACAGCAGTGTCACCTCAGTGCCAGCTGCTAAGGACTCCATGCAATAAGACCTCACACTCGGAACTCCAGGGCCTTGCCGCTGAGAGGTGTTAAGGGCCTTTACTTTTCCTCAAGCCCTCAAGTGTGGCACCGCCCTGCCCTACTCTCCTCTGTGCGTTCTTGTCCCTGAAAGGCGCTCTGTGTGGAAGGCAGGGGAGGTGGCTGTGCAGGGCTGCCTGGGCGGCCCCTGGCACCGGTGTATTGCTTGTGGGCTCTGGTGAGCAAAGAGAGACACCTAGCCCCCACTCGTGCTGCTGTGTGTGTGGGGGGGGTAGGGGCTGGCTCTTTCTTGCTCAGCACCAGGGAGCCTCCTTAAAGAGGTCACCTGAGTTGCATGTGGTGCTCACCTCTGTAATCCCAGTACTCAGGAGGCTGAGGCAGGAGGATTGCTGTGAGTTCAAGGCTAGCCTGAACTATACGGTGAATTCCAGGCCAGCCTGGGCTACAGTGTGAGACTATGTCTCATAAAACAAAAGGAAGGAGGAGGAAGAAAAAAGGAGGAGATGGACCTCCCAGGGGCTCAGTGGTGGAGCACCTTCCTACCATGTCAAGGACCAAGGCCATAGGTCGAGTTCTCCAGCACCAAAAAAAAAAAAAAAAAACAAAAAAACAAAGTCACCTGGAATCATGGCCACTTCCTTATCTCCCCAAAGCCGCCCGCAGGTGCAGGTCTAAGTGACTGCTCCCCGGCAGGTGACTGGCCCAGCCTTTGAGACTGTGAGGCTCCCCAGCCAGCCTTTCTGCCTGCCCTCACGCCACAGTTCTGGTTTCTCTCTTCCACAGGGGAGCCGTTCACCCGGAGCGCCATGCCTGACCACGGCCACATGTGTCTTCCCGGGCCCAGGAAGGCGGAGGCTCCTCTGTGTTCCTCGCTTTGAAGCACCTGTCCCTCCCTCTGTTGGGGTCTTTCAGAGCTGTAAAGCCATAGGAAAGGGACAGCAGAAGCTGCCAAGCCACTGAGGATATGCAATTCAAAGGGTCCTGTGGGCTTGTCCTGAGGGTTCTAGATGGAGTCATGAGCAGCTGAGCCGGAGACTGCTTAGCAGGAAGAGTGCAGAGAGGCCAGAGCTATGCCTCAGCGACGAAGGAGGCTCAGGCCGGTGTGGAAGCTGGACAGTGCTGAACTCCTGGTGACAGCGGAGTATCTGAGGAAACAAGGGCCACAGGCAAGAACTCTGAGGTAGGACTGGAGGGTCGTGCAGCCGGAGGGAACAGGCCTGAGCACAGAGGCTGGGGTGAGTCTGAAAACACAGCCCAGGTGACTGGAAAGTCATTCCTTTATGTGAGGAATTCTCATCTCCGATGAGACGAATTCTTTCCAAAGGAGAGAGCAAGGCTGCTGTCAGGCAGCGCCAGGCACTGCGGGAGGCGGGCAGGGCCTGAAGGCAGGAGGACTCCTGTGCGCTCACCAGTGCTCCCGGATGAAGGGGCCTCAGCCCCAGGGGACCCTGCTCACGTGGAAAGAGAAGTTGTAGGGTGTCACCATCTAGTTTCAGCCTTTCCCCGGGGTCTCATCCGGCCCATGGTGACAGAGCCACCCCTGCTGCCGCCAGGGCCACTTCCCACACTCATGATGCTTCCAAGCGGGCATGGGTGGAGCCAGAGGCTGCGACACAGGCCTTCCCAGGGTCTGCCGCTTCTGCGCTCAGGGCCTAGCCCGGGAAGGCAATGTAGATATTTGTCCATCAGACTCTGCGGAAGCAGGTTCTAGAAAAAGCCACCACCGTGCAAAGACACGTCTCTGTCTTGGATTTCAGTGTCTCCATTCATAACTAAGAACTGAAGGAATAAAATTTAACAGATCGTTACACACACACGCACACACAATGTGTGTGTGTATGTGCACATCTGCGAGTGTGTGTTCCCGAGTGCATGTGTGTGTGTGTGCACGTGTGTGTGTGTGAGAGAGAGAGAGAGAAGGAGAGAGGTTGACAGCTCGTGACTAATGATAAAGGCCCTAAGGAAGCCTTTCTGAAGGGTTCTAGCTGTTCACTAATGATTAATGTCCCTTCCAAATTAGTTTACAGTGCGTTGAAGACTGAGTACCCCATGCTCAAGGTCAGAGGTGACGAGCTGCCAGCCTGGGACTCCAGAAGGGGTGGAGTCCTAGCAACTGGTGACACATGGGCATGGAGTGATATCACAGTGCTGACTGTCTTGGGAGAGCAGGCTCAAAGCCAGCCTTCCTCTCTCTCTCTCCAGAAAAGAACTGAAGAGGAACTCAGACTTTTCAAACAGATGTCAGAGAACATAAGCCTGCAACCAGAGGCGTCCGGAGCACAGTCTCAAGGGTACCCTGGGGACTGTCAGTTCTGTGGCATAGCGAGAGGCCCGCTCCTGACACAGGCAGCCATGGCATGGTCACGTGGCTCACAGCTCATTCATTCTCAATTTCAAAAAAGGGAAAAAAGAAAAAGCATCTTCAGCTGTTCACTGGCTGCGGGCCCCCAGGCCTCTCTGCTGTGCCCTTGTCCTCCACCCAGCCAGCCAGGCAGCCGGAGCCCCCAGGCTAGTTGCCTGAGAGCTTTGGCCGTCCAAGGTTTGTTGGCACCTCTAGTCCTGTGTGCAGGGTGACCTGGAAAAGAAGACGAAACAGGCAGGGTTGGCTCAGTGGCAGAGTGCGCACACAGTATGCCCATGGCCCTGCGTCCAGTCCCTAACACAGGACAAAGAGGAAGAGGAGGGAGAGGCGGGAGGCAGAGGAGATGGAGGGAGGGAACAAAGGGCAGCAGGCCGCCCGCAGCACGCTGCACCGTGGCAGACTGTGACCTCATGCTTGAGGATTCATGCGCTGGATTTTGCTGCTCATCTGCCCGTTTCACAAGGCCCGTGGCACCGCGTGCTTCTTGCCTCCTAATGGGAGCTACACTAAAGACCGGCCGGGTTCCCTGTCTGGCTGGAGACAGCAGGCCCTGTAGCCGAGGGGCTAATTCTCACAGCCAGGTGTCTGCACCTGCTCTCCTGTAGGAACCTGACAGCTAACGCTGTGCTCCTCAGAGCCATCTTTCAGAGCGTCATAGACCCGGCTGCACACAAGGCAGGCCCCTGGGTGGCTTCAGGGATGGAAGGGATCTGTTAGAAGCAAAGGTTCTCTGGCCTTTCATTTGGCCTCAGTCTGGACCCTGTGCCATTGGTTCCCCCGCTCCTCCCGGGAGCCCCATGGAGCCCCATGGAGCCTGTGCGCTCCAAGTGCTTAGGTAGGAACTGAGTGCAGTACTTAGGACCTCCTCCACGGATGCCCATGGAGGCCAGCAGGCCGACTGCCCATCTGGTGGACAGAGTGGCCAGTGTGATCGCAGGACACACTGTTCAGGAAGCAGAGAGGGGGCTGGGACCTGGCAGGCCAGCTGACCGACGGTACCTGCACATTTCTGTTGAGGCTGAGGGCTGGCATGAAGACCCCGTCCACGTGGCTGAAGGCTGTGGGGCCCTGCTGCTGCCCGTTGATGAAGAAGCTCAGGGTGTGCTTGTTCAGGTCCAGCAGCACACCCACAGTGGCCCCCTTGCACACACCACCTTCAGTCCTGGAAGGACAAGCCAGGGAAACTGTCACCACACCCACGTCTGATGGGCGCACCAAAGGGTACTGAGGACACCTCAGTCAAGATTAGCCTCCAAGGGTGTGTGAGAGAGGGAGAGGCACAGGAGAAGGCAGCCCTGAAGGACAAAGGCTGCTCAGCCCTTTCTTATCCACAGTATCTGAGACCTGCACACTGGGGAATGAGATCGTGGCTAAGTGGTTCGCTCCCGAAACCACGGGGTACCACGCATGGGCACAGCAGAGAACTTTAGTTCCCGTTTGGGACTGAGCCGGAAGAAGATGCAGATACCAGGGCAGAGGCATCTTGAAAGGACATGCCCCTTCAGCTCACTTTCCCAGAAGCGCCCCAGCGTACTGGCGGCATGCACAGCTGGGAACCAGCTCCCCTGTCCCAGGCACAACCCCTGGGTGACCACGCTGGCTACAGGGCGCTGGACAAATCTCGGCACCGTGGCATTTCTGGGGTGGTAAAAAATAAAAAAAATCTCTGGGTGCCTTTGAGTGAGGAGGAACTTTGGGAAACAGTCCTGGAAGCCTTCCTGCCCTTCAGCGTATTTCCCCTTCATTACCTAAAGGCTCCCGTAGCCTTGCCTTGCTCAGCCCTGGGAGGAACTGTTAGGGTTGAGACAGGGAGAGGTGGGAGGTGAGAAGAGCTCCTGACATGCAGGTCCTGGTAGGTCGACCAGGAGGGCGCTGCTCCTCCTGGGAATAGGTGCCCTGGAGGTGCCTTGAGGCCAGGCGGAGTAGGGAAACGAGAACTGGCAGTCCTGCGGTTCTAATACTGACCAGCAGGGGGCAGTAGTGACAGAGCCTGACCTGCAGCTTTCTATCCTTCCCTCCCTTTCTCCTGAACCCCCTTCCACCAGGAGTGATGCATCTCCTCCCTCTGCTGGCAGGCATGTGGCCCTCGTGGTGTTCCTTCTGGTCTTCTCCTGGGAAGCCAAGGGGCTGGCCGGCTAGGGCTCCACAACATTTGGGGTTATGGTAGCCTGTGCCCTGGGGAATGAGAGATTCCCGCCACAGGAGACTCCCTTGGTGTCCTGTCCGAACCCCTCAGCACCTCTCATTCTGCCTGAGCAAAGACCAACCAGCCTAAACCTGACTCATAATGGGCAGCAGAAATAGGGCTTTTGTAAAAAAGAATGGACGCTCAGGCAGCCCCGTGCTTCCTACGCTACACAGAGCAGGTCGGCACGTTTGAGATCATCACCACCACCATCCATGTGCCCAGGGCGGGGTACGCTCAAGCTCATAGACATGGCACGGGTAGGCAAGGGGGGTCTTGGCCCCTCTGTGGGTTAGTTGTGGAAGGAGGTTAGCTGGTACAGTAAATCCCCAGCACCTGCTCAGCCTGCATCCTGTGCCACCTGGCCATCCTGTGCCACCTGGCTGGCCTTCAGCACCCAGTCAGCAGTCTGCATCGCCTGCTCAGCCTACATCAGTCTGCAGCACCAGACAAGACTGTTTGACTTGGTCAACCTGTGGTGCCTGGTAAATACCGTGGTCCAGGTAGAGAGCCCAGAAGGACAGCTGCTGCCCCTCCCATAAGCCTTTGGAGAAGAGGACCTTATGAGTGAAAAGACAGCAGTGGTCAGGTAGGCACCTAAGTGTCCTTGGGCAACTTCCTGGCCAAACTGGATCTGGCTTTCCCGGGAGAGAAGCTAGTTACTCATTGTGAGGGAAGCTCTCAGAACTCTGTAAGAGCAGCCAGAAGGCCCAGCCACATAAGCCTGAGGCCACACTGGCCCTGCCAGCAGCTCCTGAGACTAAAGGTCTTTGCTCTTTCCCCAGGGCAGTGGCAAGGCCATCGCAGGCAAAGCGCCAGCCATGGCAAGGACTGCCTCTGCCTGTGTGGGACACAAGCATCTCACGAGCTCTGCAGTGGCTCAGGCTTAGCCTGATGGCTGTGAAGAAAGCCGGAGCGGGACAGTAAGAAAATGACAGACTAAGCTCCCAGCAGAAAGTCCCCGTGAGGGCAGCCGGGGAGGGAGAGTCGCTGGGCCAGGCCTGTCCTTTATGCCACAGGCACTGCCCAGGGCCCCGGCAGCCTGGAAAGGGCTCTGGGGGACGGGAGAGGGTCTGCAGGCGCCTGTCCCCACCCGGCCCGAGGAGGGCGGGCGTGCGCACCTGTTGGTGTGGGAGTTACAGTGCATGAACCAGCTGCGGTTGTTGTCCACGTACATGGCCCAGGCCTTGTCGTCCTTGCCCAGCATCATGTCCTTGACCACGCTGGCCCTGGCCACACCGAAGGCAGGGTCAGGGTGGTTGTCATAGCGGTCAACGTGCAGCTCCCAGTAGTGCACGCCTTTGGAGAACGCAGCCGTGCCCAGCACCACCCGGTCATCGTAGCTGCTGCACGTGGCCGTCTGGTTGTCGTTGGACAAGATGATGTCCCGGTGGCCAGAGTTGGGGTCAAAGGTGAACCAGGCCACTGGGAAGGAAGAAGTGAGGAAGAGCAGGGTCAAGAATCTCAACCTCTCCTTCCTTCCCCGAGCTCCCACCGATCACACACACACACACACACACACACACACACACACACACACACAGACGTTCCCTGATCTGTGCTCCCCCGAGTTTCCCTTCCAGGGATCCAGCCTTGCTAAGGAGCACAGACATGCAGGCCCACTGGCTCCACAGCAGGTACATTTCCTGGAGCCCTGACTCTGACCATCTCCCTAGAAGACTCAGGCTCTGTTGGAAGGGACGGAGGGCGTGGCTGCCCATGGCCCACCTTGTCGGCAGGAGAGCAAACACAGAGCTCACACAATGTGCCTCAGACCACCAATCTCACACAGCCCCCCTGAGTGGTGCCCTGGCTTCTGCCCACCCCCACCAGGTTGTGGGGGGCGAGGCCCTGCACGCTGAGGAGCGCTCACCGTCAGAGGTCTGCAGGACCACCGTCTTGCTGTAGGGCCCGACACCGGAGGAGTTGAAGGCTTTGACTCTGGCATTGTAGGTGCTGTTGAAGTGAAGGCCGTCGATGGTGCACAGGGTCTCCTTGCCGACGTACACTTCCTGAAACAGTGAGGACACTTACTACGGCCCTCAGCTTTCGGAAGCTCCCCCAAGGTGCGTGTCAACACCGGAAGCGCCCTCACACCAGCTGCAGTGCCAGATGAGAGACAGTCCAACCCATGTTAGTCACCCTGGTGTCGCCTGGCTTTGCCCTGTCCTCCCAAACTGCTGGCCCTTGAGTCTGGAATGCCGTCAGAGGCTCCGGGAAGACTGGGACGCAGGCGTGAAGCTAGGACGCTGCCCAAAAGCTCCCTGCCTCCACCAGAGATCAGCATCCTCTGCTCCAAGGCCCGCCCCTGCTGGCTCCTAGTTCTCCAAGACGTCCTGCTTCCTTGCACTGAACCTTAATTTTCATTTTCTGGGGTTTTACTTTATTCCCCTTTGTTTCCTCATTTCCTCTGCCCCAGTCTGTGCTGCTTTGTTTAAACAAGATGTCACTCTGTAGCTCAGGCTGGCCTCAAACGCTCAATTCTGCCTCAGCCTTTCAGGGCTAGGATGCCATCCAGCATCCATTTCCATGTGTCTTCAGGAACCAGCAGCTTGCCAGGTTTTGAAAGGACTCAGAGGTCACCATCCTGCCCCACATCCACCTAACCTCCCTACTGTCAAAGCCACAGAGCCAGGCTGAAGGCCGTGCAAGAAAGCCCAGTGAAAAGCTATGTGGGAAGAGTGTGAGTGTGGGATTGCCTGTGCAAAGTGTACACACGAAGGCAGTGCTCTCTCTGAGCTGTCAGCTCACACCTGTGATCACCCAGAATTCTCTGATAGACACGTCCTCCGAGGCTGTGGCCACTGCAGAAAGACGACTTCCAAAGAGCCGAGGCTGGAGATGCTCTTTGTCTTAGGGTTAGCATCAGGTTTAAGAAGCAACCTCCCAGGCCAGTCCTGTCTGGGCCTGCACATTAGCGTTCTCAAACAACACAGGCCTCGTCTGAAACTGCCCTCCAGACCAGCAGGCCTCAGCAGGCCTCATGGAAACTGCCCCCTGACCAGCAGGCCTCAGCAGGCCTCAGCAGGCCTCAGCAGGCCTCAGGCGTCCCTGGGAACTGCCTCTGACCAGCCGCGGCTAGCTCACCCGGAACTGCCCTCCATCGCCATCATCCAGCTCCAGGATATAGCCGTCAGCGGGGCTGTGGGTGAAGGGCGGCGTCCTCCAGGCCAGGGTGACGCTGTTGTTGCGGGTGCAGCACTTCTCCAGCTGCAGCAGGGGCACAGGCGGCACTGCGACGAAGGTCATTTCGGTCATCACACAGCACAGTCCCGCAGGCCACCCCGCACCCATCCAAACCCTCGGGAGGGAAGTCCTCTTCCATCTGCCCATCAAGAGCCTGCATGTTGGCTCCTGGGCCATGAGGCACACTGGAGTGAGCATATGCGCATGCTGTAGAGTCCCCTGTGTGGGCTCAGATGACAGAGCAGGAAACCAAGTGAGAGTCGGCCTGCAGCTTATGCATGAGCTGGGAATGGGTGTGCTGTGGCTTGGATTTTAATGCCCCTCAAAGGTGTGGTAAAGGCTTGCTCCCTGGGATGGCATACTGGGAGGTGGTGACGCCTTTAAGAGGTGGGGCCACATGGCCACATGGGTGGTGTACCCTCGAAGGAGCCAGTGAGGTTCTAGCTCTTTCCTTTTTCTCCTTTCTGCTTCCTGGCCTCAGAGTGGGGAGCGAGGCTGTGCCATGGCATGTTCACCACAGGTGAAGAGCAACAGGCCAATCACAGACCAGCACCCCAAAACCGAGGACCCAAATAAATCTTCCATCATCTCAGGTGTGACAGAAAGGTCACTGTCACGGGGGAGGAACGGAATGCACAGGCAGTTGGAACCTCCATGGTGGCTTTGCAAGGTCAGGGGACTAGGCCACGGCACCGGACATCTCAGAGAGCTTCGAGGAGGGAGGTCAAGGGGGAGAGGAGAAGAGGAGGAAGGAACTAAAGGAGGAAGGGGAAGGAAGGAGAACAAACGGGGGAAGGGCTTTGCAGATGGTGAAGGGTAGGGAGTGCCAAGGCCCCAAGGAAGTAACGAGCTTCTGTCTGTCCCAGGAAGAGGAAGAGCGGGATGGACAAGTGGACGATGGTGGGAACAGGTTCAGGGGGACGACAGGGACCCACAGCCAAGCCAGAAAAGCTCCCACAGCATCGCTAGACTCACAGCTTCCTAAGGAAGCCCAGAGCCGGACCCCTGTCCCCTGCGCCCCTTCCCCAGGAGGGAAGACAGGCAGTGCGCTTTCTTTCCTCCTCCCTCTTTTTCTTCCTCCTCTTTCTCTCCTGCTCTCTCTCACGCCCTTGCTTGGATCACAGGAGTGCCACCATATCTGGCTCCTCCTCCTCCTGTTCAATTTGGCCTCCCATCTCTTCCACCTCGACCTCTTCTCCTCAGCACTGACTATTCCCTGCAGCAGCCTCTGCCCTTCCTCCCTAGCACCTGCTGCTAACAGCGCTGCGTTTGAGTTGATGCTTCTCTAGCCCAGAGAGGGAACCTGCAGCCTTGTTCCTGTCTGTCCTGGGCAGATGGGACACAAGGACGATGCTCCTGCACATTCTACTTTCTATCCTTGGTTTGTGGTCTACGAAAGGGACCTCAGGACCAGCTGCGGCTCATGCGGCCCTGGCTGGGACCTGGGACCTGGGACCCTCCCCCTTCCTCTGCCACCTGGCTTGCCTGGCCTCTGCCACCACCACGAAGCTGTCCTTAGCCTGTGTGCCTCTTGGGAGGCAGCACCACTAAATGGGTCCGACCACGGCTCACCCCTACATTTCATCTGGACGAAATCCAGCTGGTGGATGGCTTGCAGCAGGGGCTCGCTGTCCAGGGTCAGGTCAAACTCCGCAGACACTTTGGGCTCCAGGGCGCCTTTGACCCACTGCTCCTGAGACACCTGCACACGCTTGAGCAGGGCATCCGAGATCTTAAAGGGAGCGCAGACAGGAGGATTGGGTTTGCAGCGGAAGCTTCCGCCTTGGCAGGGAAGCGCTCAGCTTTGTCTATAGCTCAGCAAATGGAAGAGATGGATTGGCCCTGGGCCTTTGTGCCACGGCCAAGCTTAGGTGACCCCTGACCACCTAGACAAGCCGAGTGGTTCCAGCCAGAGTTCAAGCACACAATCACATCAATGTAGCTCCTACATGTTTTTTAGTTTTTGCGATCATGATAATGTAAAGAACCACCGTGGCATTTTTTTAAGTGGAAAAATTTCTTTTGTTGTTTTTTTTTGTTGTTGTTCTTGTTTTGTTTTGTTTTTGTTTACAGAGACAGGGTTTCTCAGTGTAACCTTGGGTGTCCTGGACTCACTTTGTATACCAGGCTGGCCTCGAACTCACAGAGATCCGCCCACCTCTGTTCCCTGAGTGCTGGGATTACAGGCTTGCACCGCTGCACCCTGCAAAGCGGTCCGATTCTTTTATGAAGTCATGATGCTTTTTCCAGAAGTTATCTGTCACACATCTTTTTGGCCGGGCCTCTCACTTTGCAAAAGAAAACCTACATTCCCAAGTTCTGAAGACCATGTCCACCTGCTGTGTCACATCCCAGCTATTCCACAGCTGCTGCTGCAAATCCCTGTGGCTGTGTCACACCTGTGACTGCAAAACCCTGCTTCCGAGACCTGGGCACTTGTCCCCAGGGAGCCATGAACCACCTCTACTACCACTGTCTCCTTCTTTGTCTTCTTCCTCATCATCTTTTTCTCCTCCTCCTTCCATTCTTTTAGATTTGTTTTTTTTTAATATTTTATTTATGTATTATGTATACAATGTTCTGTTTGCATGTACATCTGCAGGCCAGCAGAGGGCACCAGATCTCACTATAGATGGCTGTGAGCCACCATGTGGTTGGTTGCTAGGAACTGAACTCAGGACCTCTGGAAGAGCAGCCAGTGCTCTTAGCCTCTGAGCCATCTCCCCAGCTCTAGATTTATTTCTTATCTCATGGATCTGGATGTTTCCCTGCATGCGTGTTTGTGCGGTTCCTAGTACCCAAGGAAGCTAGAAAAAGGCATGAGATTTCCTGAGACTGGAGCCAAGGATCATTGTGAACCACCGTGTGGGTGCTAAGGACCAAACCCAGACCTCCTGAGAAGGCAGCAAGTGCTCTTCAACACCGTCCCCTCAGCTTCTCATGGACCCTTCGTGGGGAGTGAGCCGTGGGCCTCATCACTTCTCCACAGGCAGGCTGACACACAACCATCTTCCTGAGCACGTGTGACCTCAAGGTAGCCTGAACGCTGGAGCAGCGGCCCTGAGAGCCTGTACCCACTCTGGGTGGATTCTCTCTGCGGTCTGTCCAGCACATTCGGCATGAAATGTGTTTTCCCGTCACTGGGAAGAACACTGGAACGCTGCAGTTAGTCCCAAGAGATGACACCCTCCCACTTCTTATTTTATGGCTGATGCAGAATTGGGGTTCCTGCTGGGGAGGGACAGAGCCTGGAGAGTGAGCTGGCTCAGGAGGAGCAGGGAGCACCGTTGGGACTAAAGGAAGCTGCCTGCGGTGGTCCTCAGGCCGCTCACCTGCAGGAATCCCGAGGCATCATCCTCCTTGATCACCTCCAGGCAGTACTCCATCAGGCCGGTGGACTGGCGCAGCTTCAGCGTGCAGTGATTGATCTGGTCCCAAACCATCTGCAATGGAGAGAGAGCACTGAAGAAGCCGCTTTTGAGGGAAGGCAGTCAGTCTACAACACGGGTGGCTGCCTGAGCGGGGAAGGCAGCATTGCTCTGCTCCAGCCCACGGCCACGCTGTTCTGAGTTTTGAAGCCATCACCGGGGAGTTAATGGACTAGCCCAGCAAAGCTTCCTGGGCTCTGGACAGCCAGGCACACAAAGGGCACCATGACAACTTTCCATGTGACAAGTCTCTGGCCTGCCACGGATCAGGGATACCCTGGTGGGTTTGTCTGTACCCCTTCCCCCGGACACATGGCTCCCTTAGAGCACACGACCTTTCCTCTTTAAAGTACTGTTTTCTGAGCCGGATGTGGTACTCAGGAAGTCTGTGATATATGCTGAGTTTGACAGTTTGTGGCCAGGAAGGACTATAAAGCAAAACTCTATCTGAAAAAAACAAAAAAACAAAAAAACAAAAAAAACCCACAACCAAACAGATACGCTAAAACAGTGGTTTCTACAATGTGGAATGTTTTCTCCAGGGTGCCTAAAGCACCAAATAACAAATAACATTGAGAATGACCGACGGTAGATGCCTAGAATCCCAGCACTTTGGAGGTAGAGGCAGGAGGACCAGGAGTTCAAGGTCATTCTCATCTACACAGCTAATCTGAGGCCAGCACGGACTACCTGAGACCCTCTCTAAAAGAAAAAAATAGTATTTGCTAATTCAGTAGGATGCCTCTGGCACAGAGCTCCTCGGAGCCACTTCCAAATGCTCAGCCTCTGCCTGAGCCAGGAACTCAATGCCGGATGGGGGCCGGGACCCAGTGTCCCTCAGCAGAACCTGGCCACACCCGCCCGCCTGTGCCACGCGGCAGCTCTGTGTCAGGAGGCTCTCACCTTCAGCTTGTGCTCCCTCTCTTTGGTCACCTTCGTGAGCAGCTTGGCTTTCTGCCGGGTCAGCGCGTCCACCAGGGCGTCGCACTGTGCCACCAGACAAGCCTCATAGTCCAGTCCGTTTTCCTGGGAAGCAGAGAACGGTGGTGAGGGTGCTGGTGTGGGGTCCAGATGTGACAGCTCCCACCAGAGCAATTTGTGCTGGCTCTAGGTTGGGGCAGCATGGGTCATGAATGCGCATGAAGGGAAGGTTCCAAGAGCCAGGACACATGGCGGGCAGTCTGCACTCTGCTCGTAGGACATTCTCAGTGCTGTGGGAAAATGTCCAAGACAGATGGCTAAAAGGGAAACAGCCAGGGCAAGCCAGGGCATCCCAGCACCTGAGGGGTTGGAGCAGGCAGCCTGGAGCTGAAGGCTAGCTCAGAGACCTTGTCTCAAAAAAGGACAAGAAGGGGAAGGGGAGGAAGAAGGGGCAGGGAGAGGGGGAGGAGGAAGGGAGGACAAAGAGAGGGAGGGAGAGGAAAGAGGAGATGAGGAGGGGGAGGAGAAGACGAGGAGGGGGAAGAGGAGGGGGAGGCAGCAGGAGAGGAGAAAGAAGACAGGACACAAGTTGCACATAGAATAATCCCATATACAATGAGTGTGTGAGTATATGTGTATGCACGCGTGTATATACGTGTGCACGTGTGTGTATATGTATATATGTGCACAAATGTGTAGGTGACAAGCAAATGCGTGTAAGTGTGTCTATGTCTGTACCTATGTGTGTGACAAGCATATCTGTATAAGTGTGTATATGTGAGTACATTTGTGTGTGTGACAAGCATGGTCACCTCAGATAAAGGATGCTAGTGAGCTTTTTCTGTTTTATCTTCCATATTCTCTAAAATCTTTGTACACAGGCTTTGCTATTTATAATCAGAAAAGGTAACTCAGACAAAATAGTGTGAGTCTGCCTGCCTCAGTTTCCAGGTCTCTAGGATCTGGGTAGATTGTGACTTGCGGCTCTGAGCTAAATTGTCACCCTGGATCACACTGTGTCATAAGGCGCACACAGTGTGCTGTGTCTGAAGCCAGAAGTTAGAATGAGGCCATCGGGGTGGCCCCAGTCCAGCTGACTCGTGTCCTTATAAGAAGAGGAAGAAATGAGGACACAGCCGTGCACAGAGGGAGTGCCACACGAGGACGCAGGGGGAGCCGCCATCTGTAAGCCACACAGAGCCGCCTCGGGAGGAGCCAGCCGCGACCTTCGCTTGCAGCCTCTGACCTGAATCCGGTTCTGTTGCTGCCTGTGTGCCATCTCTGAAGACTTGTGGTGGCATTCAGAGAAAACTAACACAGCTTGTGTGCATGAAACACCAGAGCCCTGTGACTTAAGACTCCCGTGGACATCGGGCAGGGTGGGCTTTACATGTCCATCATCCCAGCTGCTGAGAGGCTGAGGCAGGGGGATTGAGAGTCTGAGGCCAGCTTGGGCTCTGTAATGAGGTCCTATATAAAATAACAATAATATTTTTTTACAAGAAGGATGAAGAAAGACGGGGAAAAAAGAGGAGGATAAAGAAGAAGAAAGGTTCAGGGCTCTCAGCCCTTTTCTCCAGCAAGGATTCGAATGGCCGGGCTTCCTCTGTGCAGGTGGTGTGTGCATGCCCGGACTCGCTCTCCCCTGCACATAGCTCACTGAAGCAAGATTTGCTGATTTCCATATATTCATCAGGCTCAGCATGAGACACAGTGTAGACACATTTGTTTAGAAACTGAGGTGTTCAGACTTTGATGCCCTGAATACACAGGCTTATCTAAGTACAAGAGGTGTTACCTGCACGTAAACAGACCGAGGCTGGCCCCACGAAGGTCAACCCTCTAAGCAAACATCGTTGATGGAAATCACGTGTCCCAAGACCCGCCCCCTTTCTCTCGGTGTTAAACAGACAGTGCCCAATGTCTGTCCAGCACCAGCCTCTGCTCACCTGGATCTGCTGCAGCAGGTTCTTGAGCTGGACCAGAAACTCCTTCGCCTCTTTGGCCTTATCTGAAACCCCGTTTAGGGCCTGAGACAGCTGGGCCTGGAACAGACGCCACACGACGGAGAAGCCAGTTAGTGTGGGAGGCGCGTGCCTGCATCCATCACGATAGCCAAGCCAATCCCACTGAGAAGTTGTCCTGACTTAGAGAGAGGACTCAGAGGCTGGGCAGTACAGGCTGCTTTCCCTTTGCTGCTGTGTACTTGAGGGAAACTGAGGACCTTGTCCATGCTAGGCAGGCATGCTGTCATTGAGCTACTTGCCAATTTCCAGAAGGTGAGCTGTTCCACTTTCACTTCAGTTGCCGTGATGGGAAAACCCAGTCCCAAGCACTGCGGTGGAGGAAGCATGCACTGGCAGTTCCAGGCGAGAGCCCGTGACTGCGGAAGTCACGGCGGGGACTCGGACTACCACCCGCAGTTAAGAGCGAGGGGAGTACACGCATGGATCCCAGCTCACCCTCTTTCAGCTTCTCCCTCTTTTATACAGCTCAGGGCTTGGTCTAGGAAATGTGCTGCCCACAGTGGACTAAGTGGTCTGCATTAATTAGCTCGCGAGCAGGGCAGCTGAGGAGGCCAGCGCCGAGCTTTGAGTGCAGGTGTTTGAGGGAGCAACCACGGGAACCAAGATCCAGAAAGAGCTGAGCATGGCGGTTTACACCCATAAGGCCAGCACTCGGGCAGCTGAGACAGGAGGATGGCTGTGAGTCCTGGGCAGCCTGGGCTATAGAATGATGCTGCACTGCCTACTCTGTGTGACTAACCCTCACACCACTCTTTCTGAGGCCAACAGAGGCGGAGACAATCCTGTTTACATCACATTGTTCAGCCGCAGACCCTGAGGTTGGAACAGCTCATTCCAAGCCCGGAGTTCTCAGCCTGGGGGTCATGACCCTTTTGGTGGCGGGAGGTTCAAACGACCCTTTCACAGGGGTCTCTTACGAGCATCGGGAAACACAGATATTTGCGTTACACAGTGAAGCGCAGTGAAGAGCAGCAGTGTCATGGTGGGTGGCCGTGACAGGGGGAGCTGTTTTAAGAGGCTGCAGCGCTACAAAGGTTTGGCAGGTCGAGGTGTTTGCTGACTGCGGCCTGGCCATGGAGTCAGCCCGGGGAACCCTCAATTAGGGCAAGCCACCGTGCTTCTAACGCGCAGAGGACGGAGGGCCTGTCTAAGCCCCACCACCAGAGGGCGCAGTTATGACAGAGGGCGCAGAGGCTAGATTGTGGCCAGGGCCGCAGTCTGCACCATTCCAGCCTTTTCACTTGTAGTGACAGTTGTGATGGTGACTTTCCTCCCTGTGGAGATGGCTTACTAGGTACAGTTCTGGCTGTGCAAGCGTGGGGACCTGAATTTGGGGCCCCAGCACCTCTGTACAAACCGAGAATCTATAACCCAGGAGCTGTGTGTGTGTGTGTGTGTGTGTGTGTGTGTGTGTGTGTGTGTGTGTAAAAGGCAGACCCTGAAGCTCATTGGCCAGCCAGCCCAATCAAGAAGCTGCAGGCTTGGTGGTCTCAAAAATGAAGCAGAGAGCCATGGTGGAAGATATAGGATGTGGGCCTCTACACTCACTCCAAATACAAGTGCGCACACACACACACACACACACACACACACACACACACACCCTCACAAGCACCTAAAAGAAGAGAGTGCACACGAGAGAAGTCCACTCTCTTGTTTAATATAAATAGCAAGTGATAGTGTTCCAGGATCATCATCTCTTCGCCCCGCCTCCTCTGCCTGCCCCTCTGTCTGCCCTCCTCTGTCCACGAGGCAGTCCAGCAAGCCAGCCCCGCAAACATCCCCCCAGCATGTTCTCTGCGTCAAGAAGCAGGCCTGCATCTGGCTCCTGTGGTCCTGTGACATCAGCCGATTGCTTCTGACACAGAAAAAGGAGAAATCAGTGCAGGCAGGCAGGGATAGAAGGAGAGGAAGGAGAGACAGAAGGGCAGGCGGGAGGTGAGGGGGAGGGACAGGAGGGAGGGGAGAGAGGGAGAGAGGGAGGGAAAGAAGGAAGGAGGGGGAGGGGGAGCAAGGGGGGAGCTCAGACTGCTCTGAAATGCTCATGCACGCCTGAAAAGATGTCTGACTGTCCTACTTGTCTTTTCACCCACAGTCCCCTGGAATGACCTTTCCTTTGTGAGCCTCTCTGCTCCGTGAGGCAGTGATCGGTTAACAGTGCCCTCTCTGAAATGGCACTCTATGGTACTGACATACATTCCAGGGCTACTTATTCATTACTCAGTAAAGGCTCTTGTGGCCTCCTGAGTGTCGGCTGCCTTGCTGGGCACTGGGAGGACAAAGACACAATAAGGCAGGACCCTGCTCACAGGACCCTTGAATTACACTGTTACTTATGTGTGGTGTATGAAGATGGCTCAGAAATGAAGGTCATGCCAGGCTCTGTAAGCTCGTGGCATCGTTAGACAGGCGTAGACAGCAAGTGTTTGATCAAGACGGAATTCTATGTTTAGAGCCCGTTCTGGTCTCAGAATAGATGTCTATTGGAGACCTTGAGAATGTCCAGCCGGTGGGGAAGCAAAGCAAAGGTGAGCATGAGCCACACCTGCAGACCAGACAGTAGCTCAGGTCATACCCCACCGGCAGCAAGAACAGCCTCTCAGGGCCAGTACAGGGCACAAACCCCGTCACAGAATCTCAGCCTTTGCCATGTAACTAGACCACGGGCCAAGCACAGCCAGGGAAGGCCCCTAACACCCCCAAACCAGAGCAGCACCTCTGGGCCCAGGCAGGTTTCGGTTTTAGAACCCTAAAGTCAGGATGAGCTGTCCATGACCAGGCCAGTTCACTTCTTGGGATCTCAAAACCACATGCCCCTGGAATCAGATCTTGGTGCTTCCGTGGCAAATGACTACTGAGTTCCTATCTGTGGTCAAATTACCTCAGTAAATATGTAAACATCCCCTGTCTCTCTGCTCAGGCACCTCTACCCTTCACTGTCCACATCTCTGGGCGTCACTTCACCGAACCCTGACTTGCCTTCCCTCGACCCAACTCTCTTCTATTTTACACGGAGGGCTGGCTCCATGCACTGCTGCTGTTTTCCCCCCTTTCTTTCTTTCCTTCTCCTTTCTCCTCTTCCTATTATTCTTATTTATTTATCTATTTATTTAGTCAGGGTTTCTCTGTGTAGCCCTGGCTGTTCTGGAACTTGCTCTGTAGGCCAGGCTGGCCTCAAACTCAGACATCCACTTGTCTCTGCCTCCTGAGTGCTGGGATTAGAGGTGTGTGCCACCCCTCTTGGTATCTCTGCTGGTCTTGGTTTCTTGTTCATAGTGTGACAGGAGCCTCTTGATCTAACTGACCAGAGCTAAAAATCACTTAGAATCAACCTCTCCACCAACCTCTTAGGTCCCCACTGCCCTCTCCTCGTGGTGCCCATTTTCCTGTTTCTTTTCTCTCCCCGCCTCTGCCCCAGTCACTTGGAAAGTAATTGAGATGTTCACAGGAATCTTCTGCCAGGTTTTATTGGCAAAACAGAGTGAAATGATGAAAACGTGTAAGAAGTCAGCAAAGGGCACTGGCCTGGCTCTTCCAGTCCTCCAGTGACATTTAATGGGGCTAAAGATCAGCCTTTTTTCGCCTCTCAAGAGAGATGCCCCTTCCACATGGCCCCTGGTCCCCTTTGTTCCATCCGTCTTCCCCATTGCCTGCAGGTGCTTCTATATGTGTCAGGTGCTAAGACGGTGGATAACAACCCAAGCTTTCTTGGTTTTGTTTGACTCAACGTCAATTTTTAATATATCTCTCACTTTTTTTTAAGATTTATTTTACTTATTACACATACAGTAGAGAGTACCAGATCTCTATATGGTTGTGAGCCACCATGTGGTTGCTGGGAATTGAACTCAGGACCTCCAGGAGAGCAGCCAGTGCTCTTAACCCCTGAGCCATCTCTCCAGCCCCATATCTCTCATTTTCATCAACATATCAACGCCAGGTTTTCTGCCAGTAGGTGAGTTTTAGTAAGCTACAGGTATGGAACATGGCTGGGCTGTGGAGTGGCCAAAGCTCAGCACTGATGGCCACAGTAAGAGAACCAACTGGGGAGGCAAAACCTCCCCCTCCCAACAAGCTGATGGAATGACAAGTGTGAGGTCATATGGTGACAGGCCACCTGTACTGGCACAGTTGTCATTTTGGAGTCTGTTGTACCCACTGCTGGGAAGAATGCCTCCCTTGAGTGACACTGAGGATCCCGGCTTCCTGTTGTAAACATTTCCAGCAGCATACAGATTTTGTGACAGTCCCTGGGGTGCTGCTAGGGAGTAGGAACTCTCGAGGCTAATTTTCAGAGCCTCTGGTTTCGTGCAAGCTCATGGCTTTATTTTCGCTTGTAGGTTCATCTGCTTTCTTCAAAGGGAATTTAAGGCAGATTTTAAGAGTCTATACAGTTCAGGAGAGCATAACCCCCCAGGAGCCGAGTGAAGACTCCTCACAGCTGAGGGGAAAGAGAAGAAAGCCCCTGACTCTCTGCGTGAAGCAGAGACTGTCCCCGGAGCACCCCTAAAGAGGCTCCCTGCTGTGAGAAAGCAGGCAGGACAGCTGAGTTCAAGGTTCAAGACAGGGAGGCTGACTGGAAGCCGTGACTCAGCCTGGGAAAGAGCGAGTGATCTTGAGACTCAGCAACAGATGTCACCCAGACCACACAAAAGACAAGGAAACCCAGAATTGCACATCTCTGGAACACAAGGTAATGGCAAACAATCTAATATACCTGCCACTGGGATCCGAGAGGGATGAGGGGCGGGAAAACAAGAATGTACACGAGTGATCGGAAGACGTAGTGGATGACCATCCTAGGACACGATAGAAGACTTCAGAGCCCAGCCCAGGATGCTGAGCGGACCCAGGGAGAGACAAATGCGAAGCAAAACTCCCCCTCTTCTGTGCCCTTTCTCCTGAGCAATCTCCCCACTTATAGCTCCATCAATTGCAACAGCCTCAAATTAGACTTCCTGCTTCCTTGTTGTTCCCAAACAAAAATAAGCATCACAGGGCTGGAGAGAAGGCTCAGC